GGAAGCTAAATTTGGTGTTTAGAAGCCTAAGCCCAGAGAGACGCGTCATTCCGGTGCGGAGGCTCCTCTGTGCCTTTGCATCTCGTCAGGCGTCTGGCACGTCCTAGCTAGGCTCTGGGCTGCTCTGCCGCTGCGCAACGTCATTGGGCCTGCGAGCTGAGCTCCTGTCAGGATTAAGTCCCCGCTGTAAGTCGCCCTGGTATGCATCGTTCCACACTAGTCGTGGACGCTTGTAGGAACTGATGCATTGTAAGTTCTTCTATTCCCAGCTCTTAAGTCATGCAAAAAAAACCCAACACCCCAACGCTGTAAGTCCAAGTTCTTTGGAATGTATCTTGGGCTTCTAGCGCGGACGGCCCATCCTGCATGCAAAGTCTACAGCTATTTAGAGTAGTGATAGAAATGTAGCCGTGTTAGTACCCACAGGACTGACTTTTTGTTACAGCTATTTGTGAGTGTTAAAATGCTGCAGCGAAGGACCAGGCCTCGGCTGGCAAAGGCAGGCGCTCAGGAGTTAGCCAAGGCCAGAAGTAAGGTTGTGCCACTTTGAGATGGCCAGAATGAGGCCCTGCCTTTCCTTCCCAGTGGGGGAGCGGTGAGCAGTCCAACAGTTCCTGCCAGTGCACACTGCCTTGTGCTTAGCCCATGGCAGTGCGTCAGGCAGAAAACACAGAAGACGATCTGACAGGTGGAAGTCGAAGCGAGACAAATTCACCCTGGAAATACACGGCCAATGTTCCCCTGGCAGGGAAGTTAGCCTCTGGCACAGCTCCCCAGCGCAGCGTTGGGGAGATGGTCGGCTCTCAACCCGGCGTGCGGCCCTCCGGCAATGCACCGCTGCTCCGACAAGGGTGGAATTGTCCTTCTGGCCTTCCAAAACACGCTGCCAATAGCGCCCACATCGGAATGACTTTTCCTGCCTGCCACAGGCAGCTCGTGGCGCCCAGCACTGCCCCTTTGGCAAATGTCAAGTTAATGCTGCAAGCCCAAAGCGCAGGCCTTCCCGAGAACTTGCCGGAGTGTTGGGAGTGGGACGTGTCCGGCGACGCCCCCGGCCGCAGGAGGAGTTGCAGAAGGACCCAGCCATGTGAGGTGAAGGGACAGCACTTGGGCAGATTAGAGTCGATGGACATTTGCCTTGGAAGGAACAGTCCGGGCTGCTTACACACAAGGCTACGCTCTGGCGGGGCTGGAAAGTCCAGCCTGTGGCGACACACCAGCGAGTGCCAATACAACGCGCCATGCGACAAGCGGAAGTGCAGCCCCAGTGGCACGGTGCGGGGCGGAGGGCTGCCCCGTAGGATCCCAGCAGACACCGATGTGTCCACGGGAGTGAGTGTCACCCGGACCACCCTGCTCCTAGTGGAACCTGGCAGAATGGGCGAGCTGACGAAAGGACGAACGGAGGGTGCTTAGGGGCCCCCGCGCTCAGGGCAGCCGGGGAGCTGGGGACGGAAGGTGAGAGGGGCCAGGACCATTCCAGGCCTCCTTTGCTGCAGCCTTCTTGCCAGAAAGAGCCTGGCCAGGAGAACTGGGGCAGGCGAGAAAGGAGACAGGCGGCCGATCGGGGTAAGTAAAGAACCCTCAGATCACCTGCCCAGTTTGAATGAACGAGTCCGAGGGACGAGGCGCTGCTCACCCCAGGGTGTAGAAGGGATCTTGGAGCACTGGGCGCTGAACCTCCCCCGCCCTTCGGGCACCGGGCCCTGAACCTCCCCCGCCCTTCGGGCACCGGGCCCTGAACCTCCCCCGCCCTTCGGGCACCGGGCCCTGAACCTCCCCCGCCCTTCGGGCACCGGGCCCTGAACCTCCCCCGCCCTTCGGGCACCGGGCCCTGAACCTCCCCCGCCCTTCGGGCACCGGGCCCTGAACCTCCCCCGCCCTTCGGGCACCGGGCCCTGAACCTCCCCCGCCCTTCGGGCACCGGGCCCTGAACCTCCCCCGCCCTTCGGGCACCGGGCCCTGAACCTCCCCCGCCCTTCGGGCACCGGGCCCTGAACCTCCCCCGCCCTTCGGGCACCGGGCCCTGAACCTCCCCCGCCCTTCGGGCACCGGGCCCTGAACCTCCCCCGCCCTTCGGGCACCGGGCCCTGAACCTCCCCCGCCCTTCGGGCACCGGGCCCTGAACCTCCCCCGCCCTTCGGGCACCGGGCCCTGAACCTCCCCCGCCCTTCGGGCACCGGGCCCTGAACCTCCCCCGCCCTTCGGGCACCGGGCCCTGAACCTCCCCCGCCCTTCGGGCACCGGGCCCTGAACCTCCCCCGCCCTTCGGGCACCGGGCCCTGAACCTCCCCCGCCCTTCGGGCACCGGGCCCTGAACCTCCCCCGCCCTTCGGGCACCGGGCCCTGAACCTCCCCCGCCCTTCGGGCACCGGGCCCTGAACCTCCCCCGCCCTTCGGGCACCGGGCCCTGAACCTCCCCCGCCCTTCGGGCACCGGGCCCTGAACCTCCCCCGCCCTTCGGGCACCGGGCCCTGAACCTCCCCCGCCCTTCGGGCACCGGGCCCTGAACCTCCCCCGCCCTTCGGGCACCTGGCCCTGAACCTCCCCCGCCCTTCGGGCACTGGGCCCAGAACATCGGGCTGAGCTACTGAGTTTCTCAGCTGTGGATGTAAACACGCTACGTTACGGGAAATCCACTGCTTAGTTCAGTTCACACTAGCAGGTGACCGTGCCTCATGCTGCGGAGGAAGGCATTAAAAGCCACGTGGGGTGTAAGTGGGTTGGGGGCTCATTGCACCACAGTAGAAGAAGCACAAGGCGACATTTGCAAATCACCAGGAACAACATGGGCTTCTCCCGGAGCTGCAAAGTGTCGTTGGCATGAACACGGCATGGTCGAGTGAGTTTCATCAGCTGCGTTCCCTTGCGCACTCCTCGCCGGATTGTAGGCAGGTGAGCGACTTTGGGATGGAGCTCACTCTGTCCATTTCATGGACTCGCGGTCGCCTTTCCCATAGCAGCAAATTCACATTTCGTGTTGATGAATGGCACAGCCCTGTGGTACCCAGCACTCCGCCGCTGGGGCGAGGGCGCCCTCCTCTGTCAGGCAGCGACAGTGCAAACGCTACGCTGGTGGAATTTGTCCTCCTGTTCCAGGCGTGGGCAAGAGGGCCCCCACCGGCCGCATCCGGCCCACCAAGTGAGTGGATGTGGCCCGCGGAGGCCCTGATGCTTCCCCGCCCCCAGGACAATTAGGGCCTGGAGGTGGGGGAGGGTGTGAAGCCTCCTTCCAGGAGCATGTGGTGCTTTGAAGTGCAGCGCGCTGCTCCCAGGGCGGCAGAGGGAGGAGGGGGGAGCGAAGGAGGCGTCACGTGCTCCCCAGGTCAATCAGGGCCTGGGGACAGGGGAGCTGCGTGAAACTTCCTTTGCCCTGCCCCCTTCAAAATGCCACGTGCTCCTCGCAGGGCGGGAGGAGGCTTCCTGCGCTCCCCCGCCCCTAGGTCCTGATTGGCCTGGGGCTGGGGGAGCATGCCAAGTAGGGTGGCCAGGTGTCCGGTTTTGAAGTATTTGAGCTTTCTGTTCAGGAAACAAATGGAGAGAATATCAATGGCGATTGTGATGGAATGTCAAGCGTGTCCGGTATTTTTGTTGAACCATCTGGCAATCCTAGACGGCCAAGCCTCTTCCAGGGCACGGGTGCCTAGTGGGAAGGGGGGGGAAAGGGGCTCCCCCACCCTGTTTAGGCCCCGCCCTTTCCAGGGTGGCCTGGGGCTACTTCAAAAAATTTTGAAGTGGCCGGTGGAAAAAAGGGTTTGCCACCCCTGTTCTATGGGCTGGGCGTCTGTGCTGAGTTCCCAGAGAAGAAATAACAATAATAAACGTTTCCCCCCCGTTCTTCTCCAGTCCCTGCGAGGAAAACAACCAATTGCAATGAGGGATCATTCAGAAGGGATCACGGGAGGATTACATGTTGTGTCCCCTCCCTTTGGGGCAACCACTACTGGCCCCTGTCGTCAGCCAGGACGCTGGGCTGGAGGGGCCGTTGGTCTGACCCAACCTGGCCGTTCGGATGTTCTTAAGCAATCCAAAACATCTGCTGTAGGGCAGTGGGGCCCCCCATTACTCTTCTGCAATTAAACCCAAGTTGGAGTTTCTTGCTGGGACCCAATCCCAAAATTCTTTGCAATGTCCCACGACCGTGGGATTGAGAAGCCAGCAAGGAACCATGGCTGGAGTTGTGTGAAGCATGATGGGTGCCGGACAGGAGAGGTACCAGAGGACTGGGACACATTTAAGACCTAGCTATGAAAAGGGAATAAGGACAACCCAAGGAATCAGGGCCACCCTTAGGATGTGTGGGGCCCCAGGCCGTGCTATGAAACTGGTGGCAGCCTGGGGGCAGGAGGGGGATTTTTAGAGCTGTGGTTTTCTAATATTCACAACACACGGACGCAATGTTTAACCGAAGGGCCCGGCGACTAACCCCGGAAATTCAGACACTAACAGGATGTACCTGGGATTGGCTCTCTCCCAGGGTCAGCGTCTGCTCCTGGCTCTGGCCGACCGTGTCACTTTTCAGTTACCTAGATCCTCTCTAGAACAGGGACAGGGACAGGAAGGAGGGTGGACATTAAGACCCAGTGGTGCCCCAAATTTTCTGGTGCCCTGGGCAGCTGCATAGTCTGCATTTGGGTAAGCACAGCCCTGTGAGGAATAGAAACCAGAAAGACAATGGAGCAAATAATCAATCCCTTTGCATGCACCTAGAAGACAATAAGACAGGGAACAGTCAGCATGGCTCTGTCCAGAGCACGTCACATTGAAGCACCGTCCCAAGGAGCACCGATGTCCCTTTGGGAATCTAGGCCACAGGAATTTCCTTCCCTGCTTTGGGAATTTGCCCCCTTCCCTCCTGCTGGCCACGGCGGTTTGCAAACAGCAGGTATGTCTGTGCCAGTCGGTCGTCTATTGAACCCCGCTCTGGTAATTCATGAGCAAGCGCTAGGTCCCACCCTCTGTCAGCGGGTCTACAGCGTGTCGTGTTTGCGTTTTCTTAGGAAGGCCTGCGCCTCCTGGACTTCCACCGCCTCTTGCGGGAGTCCCAGCAGGAAGTGCTGCGGTTGCAGAGACAGATTGCCCTGAAGAATTTCAAGGAGACTCTCCATTCCGCTAAAACAGGTTCCAAGAGCAGCTCATCCAGCGTGGCCATGTGCTCGGGGCCCGCTGTGCCGACGCCAGGCACCAGCCCACAGGCCCCCTCTCTCTCCAAGGGGCTGCAATTAGGGGCGCCAACGCTGGCAATGGGAGCTCCTGGGAAGGTGAGTTATCTGGGTCAATGATCTGATGTTTTTGCTAATTAATCAGGCAATTAATGATGGTTCTCTCAGAACTTTCGCCAGTATGTAATTGCTAAAACTGTTCCAGTTATTAGCCTCTCTGTCCGAAATAGATAGGATAGGTTTGGAAAACGACCTTGTAGATACTGAAAGACATCCAGGAGACAGAGCACGAAGTGTGCCCGGTGTCAGGGAGTGAAGAGAGACTGAGAAGTCTGGTTGCCACCACAAGCCCAATAAGTGAATCCCAGAGTGAATTCTAGAGCATCAGGTCTCAATCACAGAATCATAGAGCCACAGAGCATTAGAACTGGCAGGGACCTCGAGAGGCCATCGAGTCCGGTCTCCTGCCCTCACGGCAGGACCACGAACCATCTAGACCATCCTGGCAGGTGTCTGTCCAACCTGCTCTTCCACGTCTCCAGAGATGGAGATTCCACAGCCTCCCTGGGCAATTTATTCCAGTGTTTCACCACCCTGACAGGTAGGAACTTTTTCCAAATGTCCAACCTAAATCTTCCTTGCTGCAGTTTAAGCCCCTTGCTGCTTGTCCTGTCCTCAGAGGCCAAGGGGAACTATTCTTATCCCTCCCCCTTGTGACACTCTTTAGGTACTTAAAAGCTGCTCTCATGTCCCCTCTCAGTCTTCTCCTTTCCAAACTAAACAAGCCCAGATCTTTCAGTCTTCTCTCATAGCTCATGTTTTCAAGGCCTTTAATCATTCTTGTTGCTCTTCTCTGGATCTTCAATTTCTTCACATCCTTCTTGAAATGTGTCCGGAACTGGACACAATACTCCAGCTGAGGCCTAATCAGCACAGGGTAGAGCGGGAGAATGACTTCTCGTGTCTTGCTCACAACACGCCTGTTCATGCCGCCCAGAATCACGTTTGCTTTTTTTTTTTTGCAACAGCATCACACTGTTGACTCATATTTAGCTTGTGGTCCCCTCTGACCCCTAGATCCCTTTCTGCAGGGCTCCTTCCTAGGCAGTCACTTCCCATTCTGTATGTGTGAAACGGATTGTTCCTTCCTAAGTGGAGCACTTTGCATTTGTCCTGATTAAACTTCAACCTATTTACCTCAGATCATTTCTCTGGTTTGTCCAGATCAGTTTTAATTATGACCCCGCCCTCCAAAGCACTTGCAACTTCAATGAAGGGATGTGGACCCCTGAGGTCTGCCGGGGGTCCATCAACTCATCTAGAGTGTTGCCTGGTTTTACCACAGGCTGAATAGAAACCACTTGCAAAATCAGTGCAGACGAACGTTTCCTACAGACAAGGGCTTGTTTTGTACTGCTCTATGTACAATACACTGACATGTAAGTACACGACTTATATTCTGATTGATTTATTTCATGCTCTAATGGTAAAAGTGTGAAAGTTACATTGTACGTATCACATTTGTATTATTACGTTGTAATATTTACATATTGCATTTTCCTGTGAGTGTGACTGTGCCCCTTTGGTATCTTTGTGCCTGATTGTGCAAGCAAGTCATTTTGAAGGCAGGTAAAATGTGGGGTTTGCAAGACACATCAGACTCCTGAAAGGGGCACCATGGTCTAGAAAGGTTGAGAGCTGCTGGTTTGTGCATAGGCGCCGGCTCCATGGGTGCTCCAGAGCTGGAAAAATTAGTAGGCTCTGAGCACCCACTGGTAGCCAGCTCCCCTGGGCTCCCCTTCTCCCAGAGCTTCTTGTGAAACAGCTGTTGTGTTGCATTGGGAACGCTCCAGGAGGGAAGAGGAGGAGGAGCAGGGACATGGCGTGCCTGGCAGAGGTGTGGGGAAGAGGCAGGACAGGGTGGGGGGTTCTGGACTGGGCAGAGGTAGAGCAGGGTGGCAGCAGAAGGGGATCAGGCACTGTCCTGGCTTGAGGGGAAGTCAGCGTCTGTGGGTCTGTGGCATCATTAAATCTTGCCAGGTGACAGTGGTGTAGGTAAAGATGCCTGTTCTCTTTGTGCTTTGATTTTGCAAAACTTCCATCCAAAGGCAGCTCTCTATGCAGCATTTTACGCTTTGTGGGAAAATAAGTCCCACGTTCTTGGAAGCCTCTGAAAACTGTGTTGAAGCTGGTTGAAACAGGGTGACCTGCAATAAGTAGGTTAGTCTGACGAACCCGGTGTTCCATAAACCCATGTTGATTGGCAATAATGATATTACCTTCCTTTAACAGTGTATTGAATCCTGTGTCAGCTTCTTCCATTCTTCTGATCAGGGTCAATGTGTAACTGACAGGCCTATAAATACCCAGGCGAGCCTGCTTAAGTATTGGCACAATATTTGCTTTCTTCTTCTCCTTTGAGACTTCCACAGTGTTCCAAGACTTACTGAAAGTCAACATCAACAAGCCAGTCAGCTCCTTGGCCAGCTCTCATACAACTCTTGAACACAAGTTATCTGGCTAGCTTTAGTCGCAGCTATTTTACATCCTCTTTAGTCATTCTTGGAATGGAAAGTATTTCATCATCATGGGATGTGAATATATCACCTGGCTTTTTCCCTAATCTAGAACAGAATTATTTACTTGAACACTTCTTCCTTTTCCGAACTATGATTAAAAATTCTACCATTTTCACATAGTAATTGGCCAATGCCATATTAAGGATTCCGCTTGCTCCTAATACACTTGTAAAATGCCTTCTTATTGTCCCTAACACTGTTAGCATGTATTTCTTTGCTTCCCTTATCGGTTTTTACAGTTCCTACCTTCTGATTTGTATCAATTACTAGCGACTTCCTCTTTCTCCTTTTATTATCTATTGGCAAGTTTTGTCAGGCAGTGCAGCATTCTTTGTCAGTGGTGCGTCAGATTGTGAAGCAAAGCTGCCTTCCCTTGACAAGCAGGTTGTGCTCTTATCCCGATCTGCTCCCAGTTCCCTCTGGACTCTCTCTTCCTTTCCAGGTGCAGCTAGGACTGCTGCCCTTGGGACGTGCCTCCGAGGAGTATGAAAACTTCCCTCCAAAATGCCTGCTAGCCGGCCCAGAGAGCAATCAGCAGGTACAGCAGCTGGTGAGTTGCAGCCCCTTTCCACAGGCTCTGTCCCCTTTCTCCCCAGAGTGAGCGCACGGTCTTCTGGGGATGGAACACTGCTCCTGTTCCAGGCACTTGCTGGTCTCAGAGATGGAAGGGCCTGTCCTGGCCAAGAACCAGCTGCAAAACAGGTGGTCGAGGTGCAGCCTGGAACCGGGGTACCGTGGAACCTTCTCTCCCTCTCACACTGTGAGCCCCTGATCTCAGGCAGAGACTGCACGTCCATGGGCGTTCCCAGGCAGGGACACCGCAGGCTGTGCTGAGCTACAGGGATACTTTGGCCAGCTGCCATGGACTAGCAATGGAGAGGCTCCAGCCAGTTCCCCCCAGCTCCATAGCCATGCACCCCAGAGCGGCACTGCCCTGCCTGGCCAGACGCCTGGCTGGGTGAATGTGTTACCCAGTCCGAAAAGGTGGGAGGAGGAAAAGGGCCTGTAAAATAGCCGGCTGGTTCCCTGGGCTTTCTTCTTAGCGACCGTCCTCACTTTTCTTTCCAAATAATATTCACAAAATGGTTTTCAAGTGGGAGAGAAAAAGCTTGTGTGTTGCTAGATCAGGGAAGCTGTGTTGAATTTCACGTGGCGCATGAGAAGGCTGGGATGCTGCTGTGTTGGGCCCAGGGGTTTTCATGGCTCCCTTTGCGTTTCTTGCGCAGGAATTTGAACTCAGGAAAAAGCGTAAAAAATGTGAAAACCTTGAACATGAAGTGAGGAAAAAGCACAAAAGATGCAAAGAATTGGTAAGCCTCGTCTCTCTCCACAGCTGGGAGTGTGACGCTAGACGTCGTCTGCTGGGCAGCTGAGGAAGTGGGCGGTGCCCACGCAGCTCACGATCATGTTTTGTTAGTCTCTAAAGTGCTACCAGACCATTGGTTTAAGTTAGCTGTATGGTTAGAATACTGCATTCTCTGTGGGATTTCCCCTTGTTTGAATTAGGGATGTAACAGTGCAGTCGATTAATCGATTAACCGAGAAGCAAAAGCTTATAGGTTAATGCTGTGGACTACTTGAATTTCCCTTGCCCCACTTTTGCCAGTAAATTTGTTAACAGGTTGGCCAGCAGCCCGGCTTATTTCTGGCTTGCTCTGGGTCCAGAACTTACCCCTGCTTCAGCTCTACACCGGGTCCAGGAGCTCAGACACCCCCCTTCCCCTAAGACAGGGACTGCTGCGGCCCCATGCTGCTGCCTCTTTCTGAGAAGATGCAGCACAGAGTGACAGACAGCCGGTCCACAAGGGGCGCTGGTTTTTAAACTGGCTCCCCTCATGGACCAGCTCCCGCCTGGCACCCTGCACTGCTGCCTCTGATACTCTGCCCCGGGGACTATAGAATAGTCGACTAACTGATAAAAATTCATGCAGTTACTCGACTATTCAATTAACCGATATTTAACATCCCTAGTATAAATACAGTCATTTCTTTCCCATCTCTTTTTTTTCTCATTTCAACAAAATCACAAATTCTGGGGTCCAACCCTTACAGTCTAAAGATTAGTTCATTTAATCTTTCAGCTGATTGCAGGCCAAATGTGTAGATTCTTTGGCATTAAATTAATATTAATGTATGTAGCAGGGAAAAACAATTCCCTCCAGTTGAAGGATTATTGGGTAAAATTCCCCCTTTGTTGTCAGGAGTCATCTTAAAAGATAATACAAGTCCCTTTCAGTCTTAAAAATCATCTGTGAGGAAAAACGTAATCAACAAAAATTGAATAATGATTGGAATTGTTTAATAATACTTTAAAAGAAGCCTAAAAAGCCATAGTCAAGGAAGAAGGCTATATTGGTTAAATCTGTGACCTGGTTCAGAAAGGACGTGACGGCAGCTATAATATTTAAGCATACGGAAGAAAGGGGATGTTGACAAAAATGAATAGAAATCAGGAGCAAGGAATTGTAGAAAATTGATGAGGGAAGCAAAGGGACACAGGGAGAAATCTATGGCCAGCAGAGTTAAGAACAATATGGAGTTTTTTAAAAAGTGCATTAGGAGCAAAAGGAATCCTGAAAATGAGGGCCCTTTACAAGGTGGTTCGTTACAAAAAAAGCAGCAGTGTAGCCGCGCGGCACAGAGTCCACATTAGCGGACATTTAAAAATGGTGGCGCCCGGCTTTATGCAAATGAAGCCCGGGAAATTAAAATCGCGGGCTTCATTTGCAACTCTGGTTGCCTACATTACCCCGCTAGTTCGAACTAGGGTGGTAGTGTAGACATACCCTTATAGGGCCTGGGGTGGATTCGGGGATTGTCCCATGCCAGTCCCCCCTTAGGATGGCCCTGGGCTCTTGGCTTCCTCACCTGTCCACCCCGGTCATGTGAGTGACTCAGAGCACTGGTCTTTCCCCATTGGCCCTAGGAAACTGTCCGTCTCAGCAGCTAGACCTCTCCTTGGTTCCTCCCCTTTCTCCTGCTCCTGTGAGGGGACAACCAAAAGCCATGACAGTTCCGTAAGGGGCCAGCAGCCCCCTGCATGACTCTTGGCCGAGCCGCAGCCCTTGCACGGCCAATGGTGTGGTGGCTGGGATGTGAAGGAACATGCCCGGTAGGAACATGGTGGCTGTTCTGATCAGTGGCTTGGCCACAAATTGATCTACCTTTGTGGGGCCCTGACTCCCGTAGGGGAGCCCCAAGTCACGGAGGTCAGTAGGGCTGGCTGTGGGATTGGATGCAGTTCATCTTGGCCGAGCCGCAGCCCTTGCACGGCCAATGGTGTGGTGGCTGGGATGTGAAGGAACATGCCCGGTAGGAACATGGTGGCTGTTCTGATCAGTGGCTTGGCCACAAATTGATCTACCTTTGTGGGGCCCTGACTCCCGTAGGGGAGCCCCAAGTCACGGAGGTCAGTAGGGCTGGCTGTGGGATTGGATGCAGTTCATTCACCCCGGGGACCGCGGCGGGGACTCTCACTGCAGGAGGTCGGGCTGCCAGTCCGATAGTCAGTCGAGCTGTCTCCCTTCTCTGGAGCTTTTGACATCCACCCCCAGGCGTGTCTGAGAACGGAATTCTGTACAATTCCTCCATCGCGAGAGAGATCACCACCGCTCCGGTCACTGCCCGGCCTGGGGGAAGGCTTTGCCTCTCGCTCCATCTCCTAGGTCCACGGCAATGCACAGAAGCGGAGCCTGCCCCTGCGGGGAGCCGGGGCATCTCAGCCCCCTGCTCCCCTCTTGCCTGGGGAACACGAGGGGAGTAACGCGTTCATTCTCCCCGGGCAGGAAACCCAGCTGCAGGCCGCGCAGGGGGAAAACGTGCGACTGGCGCAGGAGAACACTCAGCTGAAGGGGAAGGCAGAATGGGCCCAACAGGTACCCAGGGAAGCTCTTGTTCCCTCCGTGGAACGTTGGCTTCTATTTTCTGTTTACACTGATGCTGCAAAACTCCCCCCCAAGCAGAGCTTAGCACCGGGGCAAGGGAAAGCAGTGGCCAGACGGACAGGGTGGTTATCAAAGGCTGGCTGGGAACCCAGGAGGGCGGGCCTAGTCGAGCCCTGCCAGTGTGGCCCATCCTGTGGCCGGTGCTGCGGGGAGGGGAGCGGACATACGCACTTTGCGGGGACACCGGCTGGGAGGAGGAGTGAGCACCTTGGGGGCCCGGATTAGAATTCAAAACAACCGTAGCAAATTGGGCATCGCACCTTAGGAGAAATGTGGCTAAATGGGAGAGCCCAGAGAGGGCAGCACGGAGGCTGCACGATTTAGAAGCCCCGCTCTATGAAGCAAAGTTGAAGAAAAGCCAACTGGGCTGGTTGGTCTCGAGACAAGGAGACAGAGGGGACAAGGTCGCAGTTTTCAGTGAGACGTTGAGCGTTGCTATGGAGAGGGCAGTGATCAATGATCCGCAGAGCATCCCGACCGTGTAAGTGAGCAGGGTGGTCTCCTAGGGAGAAAGCCTTCACGGGACGCCATGCTGGACAGAAGTGATTAAATATATCAGTCATGTTATTGCTTATAAACACACGTATCCAATATTGGCCTTGTCCCACCGTGCGTCATGGCCACGCCCGAAGCCGAGATCTATTACTAATTTCACACTGTGGCGCACGGCAGTTCCATGCAGAAAAGTGCCAGGGCAGAGCTTCCAAAAGCAGCGCCTGGTTTGCTGCTGGGGCGGGGTGGCAGGACCGTCATTCTCGGTAGCGCAGTGCTGGCCAGCCATACAGTCCCACCTGGGCTGCTCGCCGGAGGGAGGCCGGGCAGCAGCCCCCACACACCCCGC